AAAAAAGATTATTTATTTTGCAGAGAGAGAGCGAACATGAGGGGGTTGGAAGGGCAGAGTGAAAAGCAGACTCCCTGTTGAGCAGGGAGCCTGAGGCGGGGCTTGATCCCAGGACTCTGAGATCATGACCTGAGCCGAAGGCAGCTGCTTAACCAACTGAGACACTCAGGCACCCAGACTTTTAAAGAAATTAAAGAAAAAAACTCATATTTACCCAGAAATTTACCAATTCCAGTTATCTTCATTTTTTTTTTTAAAGAATTTATTCATTTATTTGACAGACACAGGGAGAGAGGGAACACAAGCGGGGCAGGGGTGAGTGGGAGACAGAGAAGCAGGCTTCCTGCTGAGCAGGGAGCCCGATGCAGGGCTTGATCCCAGGACCCTGGGATCATGACCTGAGGCGAAGGCAGACGCTTAACGACTGAGCCACCCAGCCACCCCCAGTTATCTTCATTATTTCCTGTGGATCCAAATTACTGTTGTAATTTTCCTTCAGCCTGAAAAATTTGGTAGCATTTCTGTAAGTCCCCCAGCCATGAATTCTCTCAGTTCTTTATCTTAAAATGTATTTTGCTTTCATTTTTAAAGAATAGTTTTGATAGATACAGATTATGGGTTGATAGTTTGTTTTCTTTCATTCAATACCTTAAATATATTCCTCTGTTGTAGTCTGGCTTTTGTTGTTTCTGTTGAAAAACTGCCTGTCATTTGTATTTTTGTTGCCCTGTATATAATATTGCCATTTTGCTCTGCTTTTAAGATAAATTTTCTCTTTATCTTTGGATTTAAGCAGTTTATTTATGATATGCCTATTTGTGGTTTTCCTTGTATTTATTGATCTATAAGTTAAAGTCATTTACAAAATCTGGGATGTTTTATTCCTTTTTTCTTTTTTCTTTTCTTTTCTTTTTTTTTTTCCCCCATTCTCCATTCTGTCTCTCCCCTCCTTCTTGGTCTTTTTTTTTTTTCTCGTTGTTTTTTAGATTATGTAATTTTTGATTCATCTTCAACTTCACTTCTTATCTTCCATCTTTGATTTGTTCTTAAGTCTATCCAATTAGTTTTTAACTGTAGTCATTGAACTTTGCAACTAGAGACTCTGACTTTTTTCTGTTTATTGTGCACATATCCTACTTTTAGTCTTTGTACATATTTATAATAGCTGCTTTAAAGTACTTGTGTGATTGTTGTAATATCCAGGAAATCTTTGGAATTTGTTTTTATTGACTGCTTTTTTCCCCTTCAGTATGGGTCACACTTTTGTAGTTCTTTGCATGTCTAGTGGTTTTTGATTGGTTACTTGGCATTTTAAATGATGAGTTTTAGAGATTCTGGATTCTGTTTTGCTTTTCTGAAGAATAATTTTTATTCTAGAAGGCAGTTGACTTGGCTGAACTCAGATTCCAGACTCTGTTTCCTCTGTAGTGATAACAGCTTGAATCTTTACTAGTTACTTCAGTTTCCAGCTGCTTATTTTCTGCCAACACCCTTGGGGTCCCTTCCCTCACTTCATGGTTAGTTTAGTGATTAGCACAGGTCTTGGGAGGACTTTGTATGCAGATTTTGGAGATCATCTCTTTGGCTCCCTCTCTTCTAGAATATCCTTCCTAAATTTCTATAGTTTGTCAGCCTTAAACTTGATATCTCAAGCCAATAAAATTTTGCTTTCTATTCAACCTACCTCCAGTGGCAATCAGATTCAGCAGTACCCTTGTCAAAAAAAAAGCTACAAATTGCAAATCTCATCTTTTGCAGATTTACCCCCCAGCCACTATCCTCCCCTTGCCAGGTAATATGTGTTCTCTGCAGGCAGGATAGCTTCCAGAGAGAAAAGGGAGGACTGAGTTTATTTCTCTCAAGTCTAGTCCAGTAAGTTACGTTTTCTCCTCCACCAAGGAGATAGTGAGGGAGTGGAGAGAGGCAAGGAATATACTGTTTGAGCTCTGTCAGCATTGAAGTCGAGGCAGGGAAAAGATGTTCTCTTCTGATACTCCCTGGAATTTTGTTCTCTTAACTGATTGGGCCTAAGCTTGCAGTCAGCTTAGTAGAAGAAATCAGCAGTTCGTCATACAATTGGGCTGACCCTCATGCTAATAACAGTCTGGGGGAAAAACTAATTGGAAGCAGTCAAGAGCAACCAAAAGCAGACAGAAATTGGGTGGGAAAGATGAACTGCAAGTTTTCCCTCAAGACTCTTTATGTGTTGGAACAGTATAATGATTATATCAAATCCAATTTGACTCTGTAACAAGATTAAATTCTCTTTCTATTTTCTGTCTCAATTTATGTCCAGCCACGTTATCCAGCATCGCATATGAGAGGTTCTGCATTTAATTGGTAACTAATCTAAACTCTAGGAATCCAGGAGGATATCCAAAGCAGAATATTCAGAGAATGTCTAGAAAGTGGCCATCTGGGGATTTTACATTTTATCTTTGTTTTATTTAATACATTTTATTTAAACCTACTTGGTCTGATATTAATATGGCTATTCCTGCTTTAATTTTGTTTGTGTATATCTTTCTATGTCATTTTATTTGAGGTAGACTCCAAATAGTGTGTAGTTGGATATAGTTTTTTGTTTTTTATGGTTTGAAATTGTTTATATCTGAGAGGAGGTTTGCATTTATCATACTAAATAGTGTAACTGTTCTTAATCTTGTTTTTCCTACCCTGCTTTTGCTTTTGCTGGTTTTTTGCTTTTTTGTTTTGCACCTAGTAATTTAGAAAGTAGACATTCTATTTTTATTTAATTTGTAATTACTTCAAAAAAATAAAACTTTCTTTTTTTTTTCATTTTTTTAAAAGATTTTTTTTTATTTATTTGACAGACAGCAAGAAAGGGAACACAAGCAGGGGGAGTGGGAGAGGAAGAAGCAGGCCTCCCACTGAGCAGGGAGCCTGATGTGGGACTTGATCTCAGGACCCTGGAATCACAACCTGAGCCAAAGGCAGACACTTAACGACTGAGCCACCCAGGCGCCCCCGAAACTTTTTTCTTTACTAACAGTAATACATCAATATCTGTTGATTCCCCTGAAAATGATGAATGAATCACATACTTTAGTACCTCCCTGTGGTCCTGCCTCCCACCGGTTATTGGAATAATTTAGGCTTTTAAAACTATTATTATTATTTCCTTTTTTACATCTCCTTAAGGAATACTTTTTACATTTGCATTTCCTTATATAGCCATGTTAACCATATTAAGAATTACTTAGATATTAATTTTCAAATCGACAGGTTACAATTTCCATCTTTTTTTTTTTTCTATAATTTTTTAAACCCCACATGGGGCTCAAACTCATGACCCCAGGATCAAGAGTCACGTGTTCTTCTGATTGAGCCAGCCAGGCACCCCCCCATCTTTATTGCTAACATATCTCTCCTATACTTAAGATCTTTATTTTTGTTTTTTTTTTCAGATACCAAAGTATTTCTTTGAGTTTTAAAGAAGAGTATGTATCTGAATCTTTGCATATCTAAGAATATTTATTAAATGTGTATTCTGACACAGCAGTTATAACTATAGCAAACTTTTTTAAGGAAATGATAGTAGTATGCAAAGATGTGTGTATAAGTTCATTTGCAGTATTATTACAAAGCAAAAATTAGAAACTAATAGATGTCTGTAAGTAGATTGGTTAAATAAAATAAAATTATTTCCAGTCATTATTGCAATATTATAATAGTTTTATCATCTTTGTCTCGTAACTGAAATTAACGTAAATATCATTAATCTTTCTGCCTGTTACTTGTGCAAGTTGTAGCATAAGTTTAGACCATACAGAGCAAATATTAGTATGTATAGCTATTAACATTAATATTCCATTTAGTATCTTTTTCACTTTTTCAATTGGATTAAATACTCACTGACTAGATATATATTATTGAAAAAATTTAAGAAATTTTAATCTGTTCCTTGTAGTCACTCCATGGATTCCTTTGGACAACCCAGACCAGAAGATAATCAGTCAGTAGTTAGCAGAATGCAAAAGAAATACTGGAAAACTAAACAGGTCTTTATCAAAGCAACGGGAAAAAAGGAGGATGAGCACGTGGTGGCATCTGATGCTGAACTGGATGCTAAACTCGAGGTAAATTTGAGGATTCTTTATATTGCATATAAGTGGTTATTCTTTGGGACTATGACTGAAGAACTTGCAGATTTGATAATAGAATGTTTAATTGTATTCATGTGTCAATCAGATCTTCTAGGTAGGAGGTCACAATTCTCACAAATTGAGAATTGGCAGAACTGGTATTCATAAATTAGAGAAAGAATAATTTAATTTCTCTGGCACAAGTATTAGTTTTTAAGCTAAATATTAATGAATTAATTATATTCCTAATTAAAACCATATACTCATTATATATCATGTTGTAATATTTTGTACCACTTTTATGTGAAGTCATATCTCACTGAAATTAATTGAAATCAAATAGTGAGGTTTTTTATTTTTTATTATTTTTTTAAGTTTATTTCTTTATTTAAATAAACTCTGCACCCAACGTGGGGCTCACACTCACAATCCTGAGATCAAGAGTTACATGCTCCACCGACTGAGACAGCCAATGGCCCCGAGTGAGGATTTTTATGTTAGAGTTTTTGTTTCTACAATTAAGGGATAGAGTTATTGAAGTGTTTTGTAATGTGTTTTTTGGCTGTGTTTTTCATTTTAAATAAAAAAAGCAATTACCATGAAACTACTTTAAACCTGTAAGTGTTTTACATTTTTAAGTAATTAAACTGTCTCCTATATATACAAAAATTTCTGGGTTTTTAAATGCAGGTTTACTAATTCCATGTATGTATACTAATTGAAGATACCTTTTAAAAATATTTCCAAGCAGGAGTTCTATTATGCTTGGAATATAATCATTTGTTGCAATCCTTAAAAGTATAGGTCCCATTAAACAGGTCATAATCTACTAAGTATCTTTATTCTACAAAATGTAAATTTATGTCATGGCCATAACAAATATGGAAATAGATAACAAATTAACAAGCTTTTACTATTTGTGTTGAAAAGTATTCTTCTTATGATTCAATGACAAATGTGGAATAAATGAAGGGACTTGATTATTAGTAATAAATGTTTTAACGCTAAAGGAACTGTTTACTGTTTCCATGTGTATTCCCACAGAAGTAAATTTTCCTGTCTTTTACATTGTTAGGTAATCTGTGTGACCTATTTTATATTTTTGTCCATTAGACAAATATTTGAAATCACCCAAGTACTTTTTCCCGCATTTGTAGTATATTTTTTAAGAATGAGAAAAATTTTCATTTTATGTATACTTAAATCATCATGTTGTATGCTTTAAATATATTACAATTTTGTAATAACACAAATTTTTCCCTCAGTTAAAAAACTGTCATTGTAAAATAGTTAAGGTTAAAAAACTTTCATTGTAAAAATAAAAAGCAATTATATATCAATCTTTCAAAGACCCATGGGGGAAAAACCAACTATAACCATTTCATCTTAGTAGAACAATCATTTTTATATCTTTTACTAGTCTTCCATATGATTTTAAAGCAGCTTTTTAAATTGCCAAGTCCATATACCAAATTCATTTCAAACATACCTAAACTTAATGTGAAAAGTTGATGGTTGCTCCTCCATTTAGATTTTAGTGTCTATCAATGATCTTCCTTAGGTCTGATCACATCAGAATAATAACAAAACTGTTTCAGAGAGGGAATACTCAGGCTCAGTGGTGGTATTGGAAATTTATTTGATACTCAAAGGGTTAGTGCCTAATACTATGCTACAGTGCCAAGGTCTTTTTGAACTAAAGTCTTGTAACAATTCTTCAGCAGAGGACTTTGTGGGAAGAAGGCTATACCCTAAAATCTATGCCACCTCATTTCCCTGGGAAAACCTAAATTTTTAGATGTGTGTGAAGAGTTACCTCATGTGTATAATATGTCCAAATCTCAAATTTTCATGTGCTTACTTTGAAATGGGTGTCTACTGGATGTTTTATTTTTCTGTTAGCTATTAGCAACAGTAGTAATGAAGGGAAAATTTCAAACAAAAACAATCCAAAAGTAATTTATTTTTGATGTTGTAATACATTACTTAATTTTTTTGGTAATTCACTCACATGTTATGCTTAAAATACTGTAGAAAAGCCAGATCGAGAGTTAACATTTTCTAAAGTTATCTATACTATTTTCATCTGTAATTGGCAATATTTGATACAGTTTATATTGGATTTACATTTTTGCTATTTAGATAGTTTGGAGCTGAGGGGGGGACAAACTCCACAGTTATGAATTTTTATTAGTCCCCATGTATTTATCACCATTTTTTCCAACCCGCATGGGGGGAATCTAAATGGGGGAATCTAAATTTTCTGTATCAAAGATAAAACCAATACTGAAGTACATCAAAGTCAAGGAAAACAGACAACACTTATAAGAAAATGTTGTGCTTTTGAAGTGCTTATAACAGATATGTTATATTTGTTTGTGGTTCTTTAGATTGTCCTAATAAAATTTATATTTCAAAGGTTTTTCACTCCATTCAAGAGACATGCACTGAACTTCTGAAGATAGTTGAGAAATATCAGCTAAGACTCAATGGTATGAAATCCTAGATATCTATCCAATAATTCTCATTTAAAATAAATAATTCACTTGCATTTTTGAGAATGAAATATTTAATGTAAAAACAATAGTTCACTGAACTATTTTGTGAATGGTTCCTTATGACAAGGAAGTGACAGTGAGGAGCAGTGGGAATGGGGAGCTAGCATGTGAATGGGTTTGAGTTCTGCTGCTGCCTCAGGGGTCCTGAGGGACTTCCCTTTCAGTTTGTTTTGTGTTTGCTTGTTTTTTTAAGTAGGCTCTATGCCCAGCGTGGGGCTTGAACTCATGACCCCAAGATCAAGAGTCGCATACTCTACGGACTGAGCCAGCCAGCACCCCTTCCCCTTTCAGTTTTTAACTTCAGCTTTTCCAACAGTAAACCGGGTGAAATTAGGCATGATGTTAGTCATTTGTCACTTTAAGCTTATAATTTGAACACTTTATGGGCTCCCCCCCTTATTAGTCTTATTGTGATTAGAGGGTCAGACTTCTAAAACTTTGGGGTCAAAGACCACTTTTGTTCCGTGTTTTACTTTCAATCTGTTGTAAACTGACACTTTTATAATATACAATAAAAATTGATTTCTAGAAAAATGAAATTAAAGAAGACATGCAAAATATAAACACACTTTTTTATTATTATTAGATTCAATAGATATAAAATAAAATACTCAGTCAAATTAGTAAGTTTCTAAACAGCTTCTTAGTTTTGGTACTTGTTACAGGCTGGTAACAAATGGTTCTGGGTTGGAACTGGTCAGTGGACCACACTCTGAGTAGCAGTATACTACATGACAACTTAGGGTTTCAGTAAAATTGTGGATGTCTATGGGCCTGGGATACTGAGCCAGGGTGGGAGTCAAGATTAAGTTAAGTTTAAATAGGATACAAATACTTTGTAAGAGGCAATGATCCTAAAATGCATGTCTGCACAATTGCTAATGCATCATTTGTGGTTTTGTCATTTTGGAATCTTTTTTTTTTTTTTTCCACTAAAGATCAGCCTTTCCCAAAAGCAAGGTCCATGAATTCACTACATCAAAACCATCTGGAGCACTTGTAGGTGGGAGGAAGCAGATCCTAAGACCTATATAATCAGAATCTCTGGAAGTAGAGCCCCAGGAATTTGCATTTTTAAAATAAGCCTCTCCTTCCCCCAAGTAATTCTTACATATAGAGAATTATTGCTGTGAGAGTTTTAGTTGTGTGTTTTAAACAAATGATGAAATGAAACAATTAACTATACTGTAATTTTTTCCTAGTTATATCAGAGGAAGAAAATGAACTGGGGCTCTTTTTGAAGTTTCAAGCAGAACGGGATACAACACAAGCTGGTAAAATGATGGATGCTACTGGGAAGGCACTCTGTTCTTCAGCCAAGCAAAGGTTTACTATGTTTTACATCATCCTTAAATCTATAGTCAATATGATAGTTTTGACCTATGTTTCTTTTTTTTTTTTTTTTTAAAGATTTTATTTGTTTGACAGAGAGAGACACAGCAAGAGAGGGAACACAAGCAGGGGGAGTGGGAGAGGGAGAAGCAGGCTTCCCGCCGAGCAGGGAGCCCGATGCGGGGCTCGATCCAGGAGCCTGGGATCATGACCTGAGCCGAAGGCAGACGCTTAATGACTGAGCCACCCAGGCGCCCCTTGACCTATGTTTCTAATATCTGTAAAGATTACTGATCATTCCAGTATAGGGTTAAAAGAGAGATATATTACACCATATAATTGTTTTGATGCCTAACTCTTATTTATTTTGTATGTAAAAGAATTACTTAAAAATGGACATTGTAGGTTGCTTAATTCCTAGAAATAGGCTTTAAGCCTACATTTAAATTTCTTATATGGTCTAATATAACAGGTACATACATATAAAAATATGTATATTTTAATTATTTTCTTTCTTTTTTTGGATACTGTACTATCTAGGAGTACATTAGAACTTTTCTTCTTTTTTTTTTTTTAAAGATTTTATTTATTTATTTGACAGAGAGAGACACAGCGAGAGAGGGAACACAAGCAGGGGGAATGGGAGATGGAGAAGCAGGTTTCCCACCAAGCAGGGAGCCCGATGCGGGGCTCGATCCCAGGACCCTGGGACCATGACCTGAGCTGAAGGCAGACGCTTAACGACTGAGCCACCCAGGCACCCCTAGAGCTTTTCTTCTTTTTAAGCAGAGAGCATTTTTTCTTAATTATTTGGCATTTATCACTTTTACAGATTTTTAAGATAAAGATACATGTTGCAAAGAATCTCCTACATTTACTAAATACAGCCAAAATCTTTGCATTTTCAGAAGAAAAATAAAAACAGGTCTTATCAGACCTGTAATGACAATGTATAAATTAAGTGGCTTTATTCTGAAACACCACATCAGTGCAAAAGCCCATCATTAAGGAACACTCAGTACAAGGCCCTTCAGTGCCACTAAGTCAAAAACGCAGACTTAGAGGAGCTGGGTTTGATTTGTTTCTTAAATTCTTGATTTTTTTGTCCTCATCCTCAGCTGCTGAGAACTCAACACTCATTAGTTCTTCTAGCATTTTATCTGCTTTTCTATGCTTAGGTTTTACCTCAATTTGTCACATGAAAGGCTTTCTATTTATGGGATTATGCTTTGTGAATACAGGGTCTCTTTTACCCATGGAACTCTTCTAAATGGCAGATTTACTTGGCAGGTTATTTATACATGGATTAACATCCAAAATGTTGCAAAAATAATATATTTCTTAAAATAAGAAAAGGGAGAGAGATAGACACATCATTATTAGCAATTCAAAGTTGGCTATATGATCTTTATTTGCTTTCTAAAGTTCCTTAGGCATCTTAATAATTTCCTATTTTATAGACTCATCTTTTTTTTTTTTTTTTTAAGATTTATTTATTTGACAGAGAGAGACACAGCGAGAGAGGGAACACAAGCAGGGGGAGTGGGAGAGGGAGAAACAGGCTCCCTGCTGAGCAGAGAGCCCGGTGCGGGGCTCGATCCCAGGAGCCTGGGATCATGACCTGAGCCGAAGGCAGACGCTTAATGACTGAGCCACCCAGGCGCCCCTAGACTTATCTTGACAGCAGATATGCTTTATGGTTTTAAACCTTTGTTTTTATTTTGTTTTGTTTATGGGATGTACATCCCTCTGGTTTTTACCTCTCTGCCATTAGATTGGCCCTGTATACTCCTCTGTCTCGTCTTAAGCAAGAAGTAGAAACATTCAGTCAAAGGGCGGTATCTGATACCTTGATGACCATCAATCGTATGGAACAAGCGCGCACAGAATACAGAGGAGCCCTGCTGTGGATGAAGGATGTGTCCCAAGAACTGGACCCAGACACCCTAAAACAAATGGAAAAGTTCAGAAAAGTATGAAAATCCCTTCCCTTTCCTTTTCTTGATATATAAACCTATTGAACTTATACAGAATAATTGAATCAAGATCATAAAATATCAGGCTATTTTTGAAACACATTATATTATAAATTCTTGGTTGCTTGGAGATCTTTGAAGTACAAAAGGTTATTACACTTTTTTTTTTAATTCTTTGAGTGACATCCCCACCCCATCAACCTTTTCTATTAATTTTTTTTTTTTTAATCCCTCTCACAGTAGCTGTCACTACCCTTTAAATGTTGTTTCCCTGGCCTCTGGGATTTGTTTGCAGGAGGGGGAAATAATTTATTAGTGAGGAAAAAATAATTTAAGTAAAAATTCAGGTAACTCGATTATTATAAGAAAAAGTGAAGATTATCAGATTCTTCTTTTGCTACAATACACAGTTTGACCACAGACCTTTAAAGTATGTATGGACTTATGTTTTTGCTAAATAAACTACTTATGAATTGTATCCCCTAAATTTACAATATATAAATAATAAAATTCACTCTTTCACTTCATAAATATTTAGAGTACATATAATACAAATCATATTTATTGATGGAGCCTCTCTACCAGCCGTATAGGCCACAGAAACCTGTTATTCTTTCCCCTTTATAGTCCATGACAATTAGAATACAATCCAAGGGAGTTGTCAGACAACACTGTGAATACACTAATGTCACTGAATTATATATTTTTTAAATGGTTAAGTTTATATTATCTGAATTTCACCTAAATTTTAATAAAAAAAGAATGGATTCTAAACTTATCTGGACCCAGATAGCCCTGCACAGTCTGGTTTCTGGTCCCTGTGCAGCCACATCTTGCACTTCCTATACTCTAGCCCTTTCCGTGCCCCAGGAAGGAATATGTTCTAGCCTATTCCGTATTGTTCTGCAAACATATGAAGCTCTTCACCCACCTCCCACGCCCAGGACTTTTGTCCTTGCTTTTCCCTGAGCCTGGAATGCTCTTCTCAGAATCCTGGCATGGCTCGCTTATCATCTTTCTGTCCCAGTTCAAACATCTTGCATGAGCTCATCAAAGGCTTCCTGATCATCTTACCAAAAGCAGTCATTTCTTTTCACTTATATGTTATCTTTGCAACTTGAGATTATCTTATGTATTTATTTACTACTGTTTTTTCCTGTGCCTCCCCACTCAGGGATGGTGGGAAAGAACATTGTTTTCTTCACCACAATATCCCGGTACCTGGCACATAATAGATACCTTATAAATACTTGTTGAATGACTGAATAAGTATATTTAAAAGTTGAATATTCATGCCACTTGGTGACATATGACTTACCTTAAGTGTAAGAAATATGATAGACCTATATTTAAATTTATAAATGTATCTCCATGATTCAGAATTATTATTACTGCTTCTCAACACTTTAACTATGTCCCCTTTCCATTCATTCTTCTATTAGCTAAATATTACCCATCAGTGGTTTTGGATATTTCTTTTTATTTGGAATCTGTGGGGTTTTTTCTTCTTAACTATATACTTTCCATTTATCACTGCATACTTTCTCAGCATAAAGATATCTGCTAGAAAGAATCTCCTACAATTACTAAAAATAGCCAAAATCTTTACCATTAATCATGAAATAATAATACAAGGAAAGAGAATTCGTCTTCTTTATTACAATTTCATTTGTCTGAAAATATGTATCATGAGCCTGTATGGTATGTCTGTATTATCAGTAATAATAATAAATATTATTGTGGTTGCAGGTACAGATCCAAGTGAGAAATAGCAAAGCTTCTTTTGACAAGTTAAAGATGGATGTTTGTCAGAAAGTGGATTTACTTGGAGCTAGTCGCTGCAATATGTTATCTCACTCCCTCACTACCTACCAGGTACCCACCTCCATGGTCAGCATGTCCTTGCAGTAAAGATGAGTGGTGAGATTCCTTTTTAAAAGTTGTCTAAAGGGTGTTAAAAATTGCATAATCAGATTCCTTTGACTTTGAAAATGGATTTATTGAGGTTGTGACAGTCAGAGAATCATAGAATTCTAGACTGAAAAAGACCTTCGGGATTGCCTAGTCCTGTATCTTCATGTTATTCTCCTTGGTGTCCTAGGAGAGGGAGACTTTGGGGCCATCTAGGTTTGAGTGGGGGGTGTTGAGGCAGAATTCACAGCTCACTAACCCTGGTTCACCCAGAACTACTCCACTTTGAACTTCTACACACAGTTTCATTTGAAGCAAAGATGCTGTGGCCCAGTAGTTTAAACCGTTTCTGTCATTTTGTAGCTCAGGGAAATGAAACCTAGGAGAATTAAAGTAAATGACAGTGTTGGGCTAAAAACTTAAGTTTTCTCATGCTGGGTCCCATGTTTTCGTTCTGCCAAGTCGCCGTCTCCCACCACTTTAACCTCAGCGGTCTCACCTGTGCTTCTGCTACCCCAAATCACACATAAACAGCATGCAGTGAGTAAGGCAGATGTTAATTAGTAGCAGTGACTGATTTTAACATGTATTTGTGAATGGCAAAACAGAATCAACTGTATTTACATAAGATAAGAATAATAAACTAAAGGGAATGGACATTCACTGGGCCTTGTAGGAAATCTACCTGCTTTGGTTCAGTCCTGTGGAATTCAGGAGTCAAGAAAGGATGCACTTAAAAATAAAAGTACCTGCAAACCCATGTAGCATACACCTGAAACACAATAGCTGTTAGTTCAGTTCTCCTTTATTCTCTCCACTCAGCCCACTTTGAATACAAACTTTGAAGCACCAAGGGAAGTGTCCAATTACTTGAGTTGGCTTGAGAACACATTTTTTTTTTTTTTTTGGTCTTTCTTGTGCCCTAAATGAAAGACTAAAGTTAGTGGTACATACTATTTTTCCCAATTAATAAAGGTTTATATATGCTTACCAACATAAAGATCTACATATATACCCCTAATATAAATATGGTATTTTTGTGCTTTTAACATTTCTCTTTTGGACTCTTCAGAAGGTGTTCTAATCTACTAGCATTACTCTCTGGCTGACTCCAGTGTACATTCCAGTGCTGTATACAGATAGGCATATATATATGCTGATAGATGCCAGTTCTTATGCAGAATTACTATTTACAATGCTTTCTGGTTCCTCAAACTTGGAAATTGATTTTACTTCCTACTGCTTATTATTCAGCAACCATTCATCTACCTACACTAGTGAGGAAAAACAGCAGGGAAAAAAATCATAACTGTAGTGACAACCTTTCTTTTTCTGCAGAGGACACTGCTTGGATTCTGGGAGAAAACAGCCCGATTGATGTCCCAGATCCATGGGGCCTGTACTGGCTTCCATCCATATGATTTTGTAGCTCTCAAGGTACATTTCTTTCCATGCTCTTTTGTTAGATATATTATACTTTATTTGGATATTGAAACTACTTTGTACTAAGCCTAACTTTGAATTTACAAAATATTGGGAAACATTTTTCTACATTCCTTCAACCAGTCATTTTTCTGTACTTCCCTGATTCCAAGTGCTACCAGCAACACTAAACAAATATGAGAATACTGCTGGTGGGCTCAAGATATTGGGTGGGGTTGGCGGGGAGTAAAAGAGCGAGCAAGAGAAAAGAAAATTAAAATGCAAACGAGATAAGAAAAAGTTATGGGAAAGAAAAACTTCGGAGGAACAAGCAATGGAAAATTGGTTTTCAAAAACAACCAGAGTACCTACCTACCTGACAGTTTTAGAAGTTAAAAATTTCCTTGCTTTACTTTTATACTCATGTTGTAGATGTGATTCAAGGTGCAAAAATCATGGGTGATTCCAGCTTAAGAGACTACTGTATTGTATTAGATCAGCTCTTTCTGTAATGCCTACATGTAAAAGGTACTCTCAGGTTTTTAACATTTGCATATCTTCCTGTCAGCCTTTGCATATGGCTTATCTAGCAGAGTCACACCATGGTAATCATTTCTCTAATTTGGGTAGGCTAGGTTTCAGTGCCTTTGAACTTATCATTCTGCCTTTTTTTTTTTTTTTTTAAAGATTTTTTATTTATTTATTTGAGACAGAGAGAATGAGAGACAGAGAGCATGAGAGGGAGGAGGGTCAGAGGGAGAAGCAGACTCCCTGCTGAGCAGGGAGCCCGATGCGGGACTCGATTCCGGGACTCCAGGATCATGACCTGAGCCGAAGGCAGTCGCTTAACCAACTGAGCCACCCAGGCGCCCCTCTGCCTTATTTTAAATAGAGCTTGAAAATGTTATTGTTGAGATTACTCAAACTGTATGTGTTATCTGTGATAGATTCATATCTTGCACCTGTGTATTCCTGGGGCTTGGTATGGATTTTTAAGTCATGTTCTGACATAGCATCTTCTAGTCTAATAGATACCCTTGTATTAGTCTATGTTTTTTGTTGTGTGTATGTTTTGGTTTTTTATTTTTTTCTATATCAGTGTTTCACTGGATAGCATACTGTGTTTTTAGGCAAATTTAATATCTAATTTCTGTTCAGATGAAGTTGAAAATCTTTAGCCGTATTTAGAGCATTGCAGTCAAAGCCAGAAACACAGTGTGTCTTCCTTGGCATATGACAGACTTGGAAACCCTGTGGCTAGCCCGTGTCACAGGCTGTATGGTTGCCATAGACACCAGGATAAACAGGGACACAGGGCTTAGTTCAAATTACATTAGCATATTTTTCCCATATCTCTCACTCTCTAGTCTCCTTCATAATTATCCCTATTTTATGTTGTTCTTTAAAATTTTTATTTTCATTTTGTTTGCACAAAGAGAGAAACAGATTCCATCTACTTAACATTGAATTTCTTGTCCTTAGCAACTACAAGACACTCCAAGCAAGCTTACCGAAGACCACAAAGAACAAATAGAAAACAATTCTCTCACTGAAAACCTCAATAAGTAAGCAGGCAGAAGTATGGTGTTATGGATAATGATACATGATATGTGATATATTTGGAAACTGTGGATACTGATACAGAATATATTTGGAAAGAGTTGTTTCTTTTCTGACTTACTGAATATTTTTCTTTTTTTTTTTTTTAAAGATTTTTTATTTATTCATTTGAGACACAGAGATACAGAGACAGAGAGAGCATGAGCAGGGAGAGAGGCAGAGAGAGAGGGAGAAGCAGGCTCCTCGCTCAGCCAGGAGCCCGATGTGGGGCTTGATCCCAGGACCCTGGGATCATGACCTGAGCCGAAGGCAGACGCTTAACCAACTGAGCCACCCAGGCGCCCCTGAATATTTATTTCTATGTCATTTTTCCAATTAGTATTTTTAAGGGATTTTTTTTTTTTTTAAAGTGAGCTCTGTGCCCAGAATGGGGCTTGAACTCACGAGATCAAGAATCAGGTGCTCTACCGACTGAGCCAGCCAGGTGCCCCATTTTTCCAGTTAATATTAAACATTTGTTTTGAAGCCTTATTTTTCCCCCTATTTTAAACATGGCAGGCAAAGTTGATGATAAGAGTACAGAACAGATTGGGGTGATAACTCCAAATTCTATAGTTTGGGAGAGTGAGCTTTGTAGTAAGAGCCTCTACCTAGCGAATCCCAGAAGGGCCAGCTTGAAAGAGAAAGGGACAAGTGCCAGCAGCTATGAAACAGAAGCTATTGAAAATCTGTCTCTAGAGCAACACAAATGGGACTGGGGCTGGTTACCTGAAAATGGGGGTTCTTGCCATGCACATCCTTTATGTTGCCTCTTTCCATTTTATTATATCGTACCCTTGTTTTCCTTTCAGAGCTGCCACTTCTCATTTTAACTAGATTGCACTGAGTGTAGTAACAAACCCAGAAATAAGACTTGAACTGTGACAAACCATATATTGCTGAGTGGAAGGTGATTCAGGATATAAGCATGTGCCTCTGTTCTCTATGGGGAAATCCAAACAAATTTTTTGGCTAACTTGAATATGTAAACAATTTAGATGTAGATTAATCAAATGTATAGTTATAAATGAAACTTATCCATTGACATTTACAATCCTGTTACATGAAATATATTCATTTAGTAAATTTTTTCCATTATCACATTTCATGTAAGTTTTATTCAAAATCCTCTCATGCATCTTCAGCATTATGAGAACTACCTTTTGAGTTAACCAACAGAGTCCAAAGCACTTTACTTTCTCTTCCATCTAAGTTGTTTAAAAACCCATGTATATATGCTGTCATTGGAAATTTCATTCCAAGTCATTAGTATCTATTTGCTCTCTAGGTTTATTTTTGTGTTTTTTGCAAATAAATACTGTATAGGTTTCCCCTGCTATCTGAAAGTGAAGGTCCCAATGAAATATTTCATAAGCCAGTACAGTGTAAGGCAAAGAAGCAATTACCATTAATTTTTGTGAAAATTTTTTTTAGTATTTCTAGACCCAAAAAATAACCTCTCTTAGGTTTTTCTGACACCGTAGCACACATCTTGCTAATGTATGCACAAAATAAATGGAGAGATAAAGCACAGATGCGCACAGACACAGTTCAGAGCTGTAGCGGCTTAGCGCGGAGATGCCAAGTGTCGCTCCCAGGGAAGGAGCTTGGTGGGGCCGCTGTCGCTGCTCAGTGTGCACGCTGCCTCTAAAAGGGCTCCTTGCAAAACAAACACTTAACGCTGTTTTTGCTTTTTGCCTTTTTTGTGAAAGTGAAAATCCCCTTTGGGCTTCTTTCAGTTAGCAAAGGTGGGTACTAACGTAGGTCTTCTGTAGAAGCATAATGCAAGCTTTTGAAAAGCAGGGGATTACCTGTATTGCTTTTTATGTATCTTTAAAGATTTATTAAAAACAGCCTCTAATACTAGAATTGTGAGGTTACACCCCAGGAATAACGCCTAAATCTATGTTCAACTTCTTTGTCAAATTTTTTCTTGCACATGGATGATATAAATATCCAAAGTTAGTATTGATTGAGAATATTTTAGGCAAATGTATCTTCTTTTGCAAATGTCACCTTGCTGTTCAAAATAGAGTACTCCATTTTTTCTGCAATTCTTCATTCCCTCTATTTAGATCCCAGGTATTACTGAACAAATGCTTCAGTGCTTGAAAACTAAACCTCATACTCCGTGACTTTGGTGACAGATGTTCTCTATGATGTGGTACTTAACACGGTGCCTATAATACTGAACACGGTACCTGGTGCTTCATCAGTACTCAGTAACTGTTGTTGAAAGAATAAGGGATGAAGGATCATTTTCATAGTCTATGTAGATCTAGAGAAGTGACATTTGTCTCAGATTTTATTTTTATAAATTTTTTTTTTTTTTATTTGCGAGAGAGAGAATGAGAGAGAGCACGAGAGGGAGGAGGGTCAGAGGGAGAAGCAGACTCCCTGCTGAGCAGGGAGCCCGATGTGGGACTCGATCCCGGGACTCCAGGATCATGACCTGAGCCGAAGGCAGTCGCTTAACCAACTGAGCCACCCAGGCGCCCTGTCTCAGATTTTAGATCTATCTACAAGACAACTATTTTATATGTCATCTCAGTTAAAAATATTTTTTAACCATATACAACTGTAGAATATGAGTCCCAAGTATATTTTAACCAAAATCTTTGCGTTTTTGGTTTTTACTTTAGGTTAGTTTTGTCAGATGAGGAAGTGAGCTTGGGAAATGAACCAGGTAAGATGGTAAATTCATTAAAATGTGAAATGATCACATTTGAAATGTCAAAACAGTTTGTCACAACCTTTTAAAACAGATTGTATGAATATCCATTCATTTAAAAAACATGTTAAGTCAATTTATAAATCTCTTCTATATAAACACTTTTGAATTAGATTTCTTTTCCCCCCAGCTTTACTGAGTTATAATTGACATACAACACTGTACGTTTAAGGTGTACAGTGTGATGATATACGTACATATTGCTAAATGATTATCACTATAAACATAGTTAATACATGCATCACTGCACATAGTTACTATGTATCTTTTGGCGGCAAGAACATTTAAAATTTATTCTCTTAGCAACTGTCAAGTATGTAATACAGTGTTGTTAACTATAGTCACCATGCTATACATTAGATCCCCAGAACTTAATCATCTTTAGCTGGAAGTTTATACCCTTTGACCAAATTCCACCGTTTTTTCCTGCCTCCCAGGCCCTAGTAACCACCAATCTACTTTCTCTTTCTGAGTTTGACTTTTTAAGATGTAACATTTAAGTGAGATCATATAGTATTTGTCTTTCTCTAACTTATTTCACTTAGTGTAATGTCCTCCAGACTCATCCATGTTATTGCAAATAGTAGGATTTCCTTCTTTTTATGAGTAAATAATATTTCCTTCTTTTTTATGAGTAAATAATATTCAATTCTATTCTATTATATATATGTATATATATAACATTTTCTTTATCCATTTATCTGTGATGGACATTTCAGTTGTTTCCATGTCTTGGCCATTGTAAATAATACTGCAATGAACATGGGGATGCGGATATCTCTTCAAGATAGTAATTTTATTTCCTTTGGATATATGTACCCAGAAGTGGAAGTGCTGGAGCATATGGTAGTTCTGTTTTTAATTTTTTTTTTTAAAGATTTTATTTATTTGACAGAGAGAGACACAGTGAGAGAGGGAACACAAGCAGGGGGGCGTGGGAGTGGGAGAGGGAGAAGTAGGCTTCCCGCTGAGCAGGGAGCCCCATGCGGGGCTCGATCCCAGGACCCTGGGATCATGACCTGAGCCGAAGGCAGACGCTTAATGACTGAGCCCACCCAGGCGCCCCTGTTTTTAATTTTTTGAGGAACCTCCATACTGCTTTCCATAGTGGCTACACCAATTTATATTCCCACCAACAGGGCACAAGTGTTCCCTTTTCTCCACATCCTATCCCACATTTGCTATCTCTTGTCTTTTTGATACCAGCATCCTAACAAGTGTGAGGTGATAGCTCACTGTGGTTTTGATTTCTATTTCCCTGATGAGTGGTGTTGTGTATGTGTTGTGTATATGTCTTCTTTGGTTGGAAAAATTTGTATCTAGGTTCTTTGCCCATTTTTAATCAGGTTATTTTGTTTGTTTTTGCTATTAAGTTATGAGTTCCTTACAGATTTTGGATAGGAACCTCTTATCATATAGATGATTTGCAAGTATTTTACTCATTCTGTAGGCCAGTGTGATTGGGATTTTTGATTGTTGATTGTTTTGTTGTTATTTTTTTGCTGTGCAGAGGATTTTTAGTTTGATGTAGTCTTCTTTATTTTTGCTTTTGTTTCTTGTGCTTTTGGTGTCCAATGCAAAAAAATCATTGCCAACACCAATGTCAAGGAGTTTTTTCCCTAGTATTTTTTTTAATTGAAGGATAGTTAACATATATTAGTTTCAGCTATTGGGGGCGCCTGGATGGCTCAGTCAGTTAAGCATCTGCCTTTGGCTCAGGTCATGATCCCAGGTTCCTGGGATTGAGCCCTGCTCAGTGGGGAGCCTGCTTCTCCTGCTCTCTCTGCCTGCCACTCTCCCTGCTTGTTCTCTCTCTCTCTCTCTCTGTCAAATAAATAAATAAATAAAAGTCTATATTAGTTTCAGGTACACAACACAGAGATTTGACAGTTATGGACATTACAAAATGTTCACCATGATAAGTGTAGTCACCATCTGTCATCCTGCAAAGTTATTACAATATTACTATTTGTATTCCCTGTGCTGTACTTCCCATTCTCGTGATTTATCTATTTTATGACTGGAAGTTTGTACCGGATATGTATGTTGCCTCTGCCTCCACCCCACTCTGCTCTGGCGACCACTGGTTCTCTATATTTATGTGTGTTTCTTTTTGTTGTTGTTTGTTTTGTTTTGCCTTTTTTTTTTTTTTTTAGAGTCCAGATATAAGGGGAATCATACGGTATTTGTCTTTCTCTGACTTGTTTCACTTATCGTAATACCCTCTAGGTCCATCATGTCATGAATGGCAAGATTTCATTCTTTTTTATGGTTGAGTAATTCTTTATGCATTCATGATCTATATTTATAATGTCCTATTTTAAGCTGATAAGAACTTCAATAGCATATGGAAACTCTACACTTTCCTCCCCCTCACATTTTAGGTTATTAATGTTATCATTTACATCTTTTTTATTGTGTATCCAGTAACAAATTATTGTAGTTATAGTTATTTTTAATGTTTGTTTTTTTAACTTTTAAACTAGAGTTGAAAGTGATTTATGCACCACTCTTCCAATATTATAGAATCTGACTTTGAGTATATATTTACCTTTACTGATGAGTTGTACACATTTGTGCAGTTTTATGAGGTTATTTAACATCCTTTCATTTCAGCTTGTAGAATGTCCTTTAGCCTTCCTTGTAAGGGAGGTCTAGTGGTGATGAACTTTCTCAACTTTCATTTGTTTGGGAAGGGCTTTCTCTCTCTTTCCTTTCTGAAGGACAGCTTTGCCGGGTATAGTATTCTTCATTGAGTTTTTTTCTTTCAGTATTTTGAATATATCATACTGCTCTCTCCTGGCCTACAAAGTTTCTCCTGAGATATCTGCTTACAGTCTTATAGGGGCTCCCTCATATGTTAGAAGTCACTTTTTTCTTGCTGCTTTAAAAATTCTGTCTTTGACTTTTGCCAATGTGATTACAATGTGTTGTTGTATGTGACTGGACAAAGCTGCTGCTCATGCTCTGAGGTTGGGGGAGGCCCACTGGCTGTATTTTGTGTTTAAGTGGTGCTGTCGGCTGGGATCCCTGGGAAAGGGCTGTGCTCCGAGGTCAGGCGGGTCACTAGCTGGGCTTCACAGTCATCTCTGATCAAATGATGCCACTGCCAAGCCTCTTTTTTCAGGCAGGGCTTCATGGTCTGATATGGCCTCAGCCTGTGCTTTGCAACTAGCAGGACTGCAGAGGCTGGGTTCTAAATCAGGTGGGACGGTGGCTGTGCTCTGCTGTTGAGCAAGATTGCTGGCCATACTTCCTAGTTGAGTGGGCCTCATGCTTTACTGCATGATTGGGCAGGGCTTGAGACTGTGTTTTACAACTGAGTGGGATCACTGACTGGGCTTCCTGCTTGGGTGAGACTGTAGGCTGTGCTCAGCAATTGAGCATGGCCATCCGCGTGGCTTCAGTGCCAGGCAGGACTATAGACTGGAGTTTGCTGCTAGGCAGCACCGTAAGCTGGGCTGTGATGCTCCCCAGGGTCACTGTTAGGGCTTCCTGGTGAGCTAGGCAGGAGGTTATGCTTCATACTTGGCTGGGGCTGCTGACTTGTTTCTCTTTCTGGTTGGGTGGTAGGATATGCTCTGTAACTTCCCAGGGTCTCAGTCCAGGCTTCCTGGTCAGGTGGGACTGGAGGCTATACTCAGCAATGAGTTAGCTTTCTAGCAGTACCTAATTAGAAGGTCTACTTATTTTCTTTAGGGAATTTTGATTTTCTCTAAGATAAGGGCTTTTAATGTAGACATTTATTTCACCGGGTGGTATGATTAAGTTTCAAGCTTTTCCTCACACTTCAATAAATGTTCTTATTTTTTTTTTTTATAAATACATATTATGTATACAATCAGTATATATTCAATCAGTGCAGCTTTGGAGCCAGGAAAATCAGGGTTTGAATGCCAGCTTTTAAAAACAAGTCATTTACCTCTCTCATTTTTCTCATCTGAAATATGAGTCATATACTCCTACCTTACAGAGATATCAACACTAGAGATACTTATAAACTACATAAACTACACGATAGGTGTACTGTTAATGCAAGAGGCATTTTTAAGTGTACACATAGATACAGACCATGTTGATAAACCATAATAATCATGGACTTGTATACCTAACATAGCTTCAAGTATATGTTCAAAAGGTTAGCCTCTTGTGCATATATAATCCCATACTCAAGTAGAGAGCATATTTTTAAAAGGCCCAGATGAAATATAATGGATATTGTTGTAGTTTCACCATTCATTTGTAGCATTATTCAATCTTTAAAAACTGCTGTATCAGTAATTATGTCTACTTTTTTAAAATTTATTTTTTTAAAGATTTTATTTATTTATTTGACAGAGAGAGACAAAGTGAGAGAAGGAACCCAAGCATGGGGAGTGGGAGAGGGAGAAGCAGGCTTCCCGCCCCACGGAGCAGGGAGCCCAACACAGGGCTCGATCCCAGGACCCTGGGACCATGACCTTAGCCAAAGGCAGACGCTTAACGACTGAGCCACCCGGGCACCCCATGTCTACTTTTTTTAAAAAAGATTTTATTTATTTATCTATTTGAGAGAAAGAGCACAAGTGGGAGGAGGGGCAGAGGGAGAGGGGAAGGGAGAATCCCAAGCAAACTACTCACTGAGCTTGGAGCCTAATGCAGGGCTCAGTCTCACAACCCTGAGATCTGACCTGAGCCAAAATCAAGAGTCAGATGCTCATCCAACTGAGCCACCCAGGTGCCCCGTTATGTCTACTTTTTATTTCCAAATATTTGTTCCAAAAATTTTTTCTTAATCTTGCTAAAGGTTTATTTATTCTTTCAACAAATCAGCTTTTGGTTTTGTTAAACCTGTCTATTGAATCTTTGTTTCATTAATTTTTCTTCATTATTTTCTTCCTCTATTATTTTTGTTTCTTTTTTTTAAGTCTAAAAATTTCCCTTTTTCTGTATCCCACAAGTTTTTATTTATTTAT